ACACACACACACACACACACACACACCTCCTCCCCCACCGCTCTTCCTCCGTCTCTCCTTCCCCATGTCTACTCCACCATCTCTCCTCCACTCACTTCCTCCATCTCTCCTCCACATCTCTCTTCGTCCATCTCTCCTCCCCCATGTCTCTTCCTGCACCTCTCTTCCTACATATCTCCTCCATCTATCTTCCTCCATCTCTCGTCCTCCACATGCCCCGTGTTTTTTTTTTTTTTTTTTTTTCTCTTGCTTTGTTGCCGTCAGCTGTTCCCTTTAGTTCGTAATTGGTTCTACGACAGATGGGTGGTGTACGAGAGGGAAGATAGAGGGGGTAGTGGGCAGATGGGTAATTGGCAAATTGCTCCTCCGTCTCTCCTCCCCCATGTCTCCTCCACCCTCTCTCTCCCTCTCTCTCTCTCTCTCACACACACACACACACATACACACACACACACACACACCTCCTTCCCCACCTCTCTTCCTCCGTCCACCATCTCTCTCCCTCTCCATCTCTCTCTTACACACTCGCACACACACACACACCTTTCCTCCCCCATGTCTCTTCCTCACCCTCTCTTCCTGTATGTCTCCTCCATCTCTCTTCCTCCATACACCCCGTGTTTTTTTTTTTTTTTTTCTCGCTTTGTTGCCGTCAGTCGTTCCATCTTGTTCGTAATTGCTTCTACGCACACGGGAATTCGTTTTTTTTTGGGTAATGGACAGATGGGTGGTGTACGAGAGGGCAGATAGAGGGGGGTCATAACCACAATAGAGATTGAGGGTGTATGAGATGGCTGAAATCGCTGTCTGCCACTTCGTCATGGTTGTCATTGATGTCGTGCAGGGGATGTCGAAGGCATCGACGCTCAAGCACCTCCAGGAGCAGTTGAAGAAACATTTCACGATCGAGGGGACACGGGGGAAGAATGTGGGAAAGGGATCGAAGTACTGGAGGTGCAACTACTGCGACCTGCGGTTGGCCGAGACTGCCAGGAGGCTCCGGGATCACTTCTTGGATAGGTGCACCCTTGATAACGTAACTGTCCCGTTGTCAGTGGAGGAGAGGGCGAGGAGGGAAGCTGGAATGTTGGAGGGGAAGTGCCTTGCTCGCATGTTGATGCAGATCGAGGCTGGAGGTGCTGGACCCAGCAACATGCCGACCGCTTCAAGTCATGCACTGGAGTTTCCAAGCTCTCAGGTCGTTGGTGCAGGCATTACCGGCGAGACGGCCACACCTCAGTCCACTGGGGGCACCGCTCTTGGATCGAAGCCAAGTTTGGGCAGGCCACTGAGGCAGACAGTGATTGAGGAGGCCGACAGTGTGGTCACGATAAATGAGCGTACAAGCCGATTCCTCGACCGGTTTTTAATATGCACCAACCTGCCGTTCAGCTTGGCGGAGGACGTCTTCTTCCTCGAGTTCCTTCAGGCCGTGAGGACGGCCCATCCTACATGGATGCCTTGCCGAAGGGACGAGCAAAGGACAAAGCGCTTGGACGCAGAGTATGTGCGGGTAGGGGCGGAGGTCCGTGCAATGATAGTGAAATGGAAGAAGACGGGGTGTATGTTGCAGATGGACGGCTAGTCGGACCGCCGCAACAAACCACATTTGAATGTCATGGTGTCCTCACCCGTCGGTACAGTATTCTGGAAGTCCGTCTGCATGGAGGTCAAGGAGAAGGATTCGGCAGCTTATTTTCGGGTGTTGGACGACGTCATCAAGGAAATTGAAGCGGATGCGGTCATTGGTGTAGTCATGGACAACGCAAGGGTGTGAGTGAAGGCAGGGAAGATGGTGGAGTCCGCCTATCCGACCATCTTCAGCGTCGGTTGTACGGCACATGCGCTGGACCTTGCGCTGGAGGACATCTACAAGGAAATGCCTTGGATGGCGCAGGTGGTCGATGCTGGCAACAAGGTCAGACGTTTCTTCTCCAATGTGGACAAGGCAAGGGCTTTGTTCCACCATTACTCCCCGAAGACAAAGCTGAAGCGTCCGGCGGCAACCAGATTTGCAACGAACTTCGAGATGCTGCAGTCGCTCAAGGAATTGCGGAAAGCTCTTGACCGTTGTGTGTGCGACAAGGGTTGGGTGGACAAGATGGTGCGGAATGGCCAGTTGGTGGCATTCCATGATGTAACAGCAATCGTCCTTGACAAGGGTGACTTTTGGAGGAATTTGCAGAAGGCGCTTGATGTCATGCAGCCGGTGGTGGAGCTGCTCCGTTTGGTGGATGGGCAAGGAGCAACCATCTCGAAGGTTTACTTCAAGATGGATCAGGTTGTGCAGAGTCTGCGTGCCCTGGAATCCTTATCGGTGGAGGAGCACGAGGCGGTGGAGCGCATCCTCATGGGCCGTTGGGCATTTCTGACAAGCGAGCTACATTGTGCTGCAGCCTTCTTGGACCCTGAGCATCGGATGCACAACGCACAGCGCGATCCGGAGGTTCGTGCCGGGTTCAGCATTTGGTTGTACTCCTGGATGCCTCGGGAACGGCGCCAGGAAGTGAGCTCCCAGGTTGATCAATGGGTCAATGCTTTGGGAGGGTGCGACCAGCCGCCAGCTTTGTGGTGGGAGGCGTTCGGCTCGAAGCACGACCTCCTCGCACCACAAGCAATCAGATTGCTTGGCCAGGCAAGCTCCTCTGCCGCYTGCGAGCGGAATWGGRGCTTGCATGARCTKATCTATGSATGGAGGCGGACGAAGTTGTTGCCAGAGAGGATGGCGAAACTGGTGTACATCAGTTGGAATGTTCGGCTGCTGAGGAGGAATCAGCGTGGCGAGGGGGATGATACCCACATCCCATGGGCGGACGACGTCCCGGTGGACAAGGAGATGGAGGAGTGGTATGTGCACTGGTTGGATCGGGTCCATGATGATGTCGATCGTGAGGAGGTTGTGGAGGTGGACTGCGATGATGAGGGAGACGAGATCCCAATGCGGCGGATTTTCATGCGGAATGACGAAGTTGACGAAAAGCTGGTTGAGGAGGAGGAGACTCTACTTGTCGGTACAAGGCAGCGCGATTGGCATGAGTGCACGAAGCCTGGGAAGCACCGTGAGCAAGAGTTGCGAAGGAGATCTGGTTGCCAGCTACCTGTGCTTGGAGAGTTGTACACAAAGAAGGGTTACTCTCTCGCAATGGAAGCGCGACAGGTAGGCACTTGGGTGCAGGGGCGGGATGAGGTGCGAACAAAGAGGAGAGGGAAAGATAAGGGCAAACAGACGGTGGAGCATGATGATGTGGCCGCACGGCGTGGGAAGAGGAAGGCTGTTCAGCAAGAACAGCCACGACCGAAGAGGGGCCGTCCAACTAACGCAGAACAGGCGGCACGCAAGGCGAAGAAGGCTGAAGAGAAGGCTATCACTGCAGCAGCTGAAGCAAAAGCTGCTGCTGACAAAGCCTCAGCGGCCAAAGCCAAAGCGGCAGAGAAAGCTGCCAAAAAGAGTGCAGGTGGAGGGAAGGCCAAGAAGTCCGTCGTTGTAAGTGACGACGATGATGAGGATGTCCCCGAAGAAAGTCCGGAAGAGGACGAGCCTGAAGGCTCGTCCACGTCCACGAACTCAAGTTCTTCATCGGCTTCCTTGTCATCTCATACCAGTGGGATGGAAGGCACAGATGGAGAAGGAAGTGAGGGAGGGGAAGAAGAGGGGGAAGATCAGGTAGAGGTTGAGTAGAGGGAAGCCGTTCAATCTATGATTTCATCAGTTTAGGTATCCGATGCTCCAAGTGCAGAGTTCTGACAATGATCGTATTTCTGACATGAAGCTTTGATCTTCCAAATTTCAAACTGTTATTTTACTTATTTTTGTTCTCGCAATGTTGAATGTACGAATAATAGCCGAATATCTACGTGAGCTGCCACAAAGATTGGATTTGATTGACTGGTTTTCTGTTCTGCTCGTCATTCTTTGTTGTGGATGTTGCACTGCAAATTCATTGTTGTTGTGAATGTGTTCTTTTGATGCCATGTTGCCGCGTCGTTGGACGGATGCCCTGACTGCCATCGCTGGTACGTGCATACTCCGACTGCAGGTGAGTGTTTGCAACTTTGCAACTTCGCARCCCTCCCACCCCTCTGATTTGTCTGTAACTCTCAGGGGATGGCACAGGAGTCAGGACTAAAGTGGGGGATACKRTAATGAAAGGGAAAAAAAGCAGGGGTAGTGCAGGGTGAGTGGGGGGGCTGGTTGCAGGGGGTCGGGGGGGGGKSTGGTTGCRGGTTGGTATGTCGGTATGGCTGSKGGGGGSGGGGGAAGAGGTTTTTTTTTTTTTTTTTCTGCGCACATGGCGCACAGGCCACAGCGCGCGCACAGCGCACAACGCACCACACAGCGCACAGCGCACAGTGCACGCCCTGCTAAACCTGCGCACAGCGCACAGCGCACCGCACACGTGCGCCGCAACTATGGTTTTTAGTATTCTTCGATTCCATGTGTGGGTTCTTGTTGTCTATCCTCTGTGCTTTGCTGCTCCGTGTCACACTTAAGGGAATTTAGGTGTCTGTCTCTTGTTTTTGCTGGGACCTGGCTCTCCTGGATCTATGGTAGTCTTGAGTCAGTCCTGAGTCTTATGTCTTAGTTGAGATGTAGATGTCTCTATTAGCTGTGGGTTGTCAATTTGGTTTAGTCTAGGGTCTGGAGGGTAGTATCTGTTGTGTGTTCTTCCAACTATTCTGAGTGTATGTTGCCTTCCAGAGATTGGGGGATATTGTTCAATGAGTGGTCTTGGGATTGTTGATTTTGTGGGGTTTCCTCCCATAGTCGGAAAACTAGGCTTGAGCCTCGAATGAGAGCGATTTTACCCTTGGCTAGGAAGTTTTCTTCGAAGTTCTTTTGGTGCTCCTTGGCTTTGTCTTCGTCTTCCTTCATTTTCCTTCTTACTTTGAGCCACATGGCCCAGTACTCCGTTTCTACTTGTTGTTGTAGTAGTCCCCATGCTTCTTTAGTGTGCATTTTTTGCTTTTCTATAGTTTCTTGACATATTCTCCTCCATATGGCCCATAGTGCAGCTTTTCTAAGAATTCTGAAAAGTGTGTATTCTAATGTGCTCCAGTCTTTCGGGCCATTAAATCCTAGGAGTAGAAGTGTATTGTTGTTGGTTAGGATTGTGCTTGTTACCGTGCTCCACATACTTGCTACTTTTTGCCATAGTGGTTTTATTCTAGGGCATAGGAGAAAGCAATGGAATAGGTTCTCTATTTGGCCGTCGTTGCAATTAGCACATAATTCCTTCATTAGGTTTTTGTCTTCTTTTCTCCTTTTGGTGTTTAACCATTTGTTCAAAGGGACTGCTCTTAAATGATTAACCATTGAAGCCTTCTGACTTTGGGGGGGTGAATAGATGCTATTTTGTTCCACGGTATTGGGTCGGCTGGTTCTATTTCTGCCTCTAGGTGTCTTTTCCATCGTTCTACTATTACTGGGTCTGGGTTTGCCGAGCGGCGTCTCAACCTATAGCCCAGTCTGGTTGTGTATTGTAGTAAGTTGAGTTTGGTGTTGATTCCTGATGTTCCTTGCCTTAGATTCCATGTCCATTCTGCTGGGTCTACTTCTAAATTCTCTAAGGGGGTTTGGGGGAGATAAATGGTTAGAGATTCGTTTTTTCTATTACTCTAATATTTCTTAGATTGTCCTCATGGACAGAGAGTTGTGTTGTTGCGTATTTACTGATCTTGCTGTGGTCCGAGCCTGGCTCCTCTATTTCATGCATGGTAAATATGTACCAGTCTTGTTTGCTTTCTTCCCTACCCCAATATGAAAGAGCGTGTTCCCGTTGAGGTTCGTTTACTATTACGGCCCAGTCTCCTATGTTCCATTGTCTGTCTTTTTTGAGTGTTCGGATCCATTCTTGTGGGATGGCTGCTATGATTTCCTGTAGGTTCTGGTTTAGCCGATGGCAGTGTTTGAGCTGTTGCCTGAGTTGATTGTCTTGCTTCCATTCTTTCGTGTTGTCGTCCCAGATGTGTTTAATCTGCCATATTCCTTTTTCTAGCCAGACTCCCCACCTTGTGTCCTTTGAAGTTAGTGTGAATGGGCTCCCGTCTTCTTTTGTTATCCACTGGTTGCAGAATAAGAGTTGTCGTAGTATTTCTTCGTTGTTGTTTGGTTTCTTAACTTTAGCTGGGAAAATCTCTCTCCAGTCTCGAAGGATTCCTTTCCAGAACTTCAACCTAGGTTCGTTTCTTGGGTACGTTGAGGTCTGGTTCCCCCCTTTCATTGACCAAGATTTACTCATTATCCAGAAGGAACCTTCCATGTTGGATGGGTTGTTATATACTGGTAGTTGTTGTATCCCGTCTAGGGCTAAGTCTCTCCAGGGTAAGCTTGGTCTAGTGATGAGCTTAAGGATCCATTTGGTCTGTAGGGCTTTTATTTGGGTTGTTGGGTTCAGGACTCCCAATCCTCCTCGCCCTTTTTTCCTAGTGGCATATTGCCAAGCTACTTTGGTTATGAAATGTTGTCTGGATGCATCTCCTGTCCACAGATAGGCCGTGGCTTTCTTTTTTAGGTTCCTCAACGTTGACTGGTCCGGGTTCCAGAAGGCTACTGCATACCACATCATAGCGAAAATGGATGAGTTCAATATTAGTGCTCTACCATATAGTGAGGTGTGTATTGTGCCCCAGGTGTTTAGTTTGCTTGTCATCTTGGCTAGGAGACTATGCGTCATTTCTGTTTCTGCTCCGTATTCTGTCATTTGGATCCCTAGAACTCTCAATGGGTCCTTAGGATCTGACCAGATCATACCATCGGGGGTGTTTTGGGGGAGATCTATACTCCCATCCGTTAACCACCATCCTACTGTTTTTTGCCAGTCGATTCGCATTTCAAAGGCTAGTTGATATGCATGCATTGCTCTGGTGATGGCCTCAAAGGATGAGTTGGATGCTCTTATGAGCACAGTCAAGTCGTCCGCAAACATGATCCTGGGAGGTATGTGGTGTGTTCTGCTGAGATCTTCCGACGGGTTTACGAGTCTTTGTATAGATGGGTCTTTCCTAAGGAAGGATGCTATTGCCTCCATGATAAACAGGAAAATAGAGGCTGCTAATGGGTCTCCTTGCCTTACTGATCTAGACATCTTGTAGGGGGCGGATATGTGACCATTTAATTGAACAGCTCCATGTGCATCGTTGTATAGAATTCTAACCCAGTTTCTAAAGTTTGGGTCTACTCCCATTTTTTCCATGCATTGTTGGAGGAAATCCCAATTGACCTGGTCATAAGCTTTCTCAAAGTCGAAAAAGAGAATTGTTGCGTTAAGTTTCTTATCTTTAATATATCTTACAGATTTGGCTAGTGTCATTATGTTGTCTAAGATAAATCTGCCCGGGATGAAGCCCGTTTGGTCTATGTGGAAGCAATTTCTGGTGATCTTACTTATTCTGTTTGCTAGAAGCTTGGCTAGGATTTTGTATGCTACTGTTAGTAGTGTGATGGGTCGATAGTTTTTTATATCAGTGGGGTCCCCTTTTTTTTATAGTAGGGTGACTATTCACGTGCTGAGATACTTCCCTAAACCGCCCGAAGCCCATGCTGTTTTTATGAACCTGCAGTACTCACATCCCCTAAGAGTTCCCAGTATCTTTGCCAAAATTCTCTTGACAGGCCGTCTTGTCCCAGAGTCTTTCCGGGTTTCATTCAGTCCAAGGCTCTTTTAATTTCGTCATCCGTAATGGGTGCATCCAGTTCTTCCGCTAGTGTTGTGGGGATTGTTTTGTCCAAGTATTTACAAAAAAATTTCCTTGCTTGTATCACTTGTCCCGGAGTGGGGTGTTCTGTTTGAGGTGCATAGGTTTTTATAAAAGGATTCTGCTATTGCTAGCATTTTCTTTGGATCTGAAGTGAGTCCTTCCTCACCTCTCAATTGGTGGATGGTGGAATTTCTTCCTCTTGCTCTGATTTTTTGGAAAAAAAAACTCGTCATTTTTTCCCCTTCCTCCCACTCTCTGATCCTTGCTCTTAGTCTCATTCCCCTTGCTTTCCATGAGTTTGAGGCGCCCAATTCCGCTCTTGTTTTGGCTAGTGAGTCTTCATATGCAATCTGACCTCTGTTATTGATGAGGAACTTTTCTGCTACTTGGACTGCTGCTTCTAACTCTTGTATGCGTTGGTTTCTTTTGGCTGCCCATTTTCTTGATGTTGTGGAGGCTGCTTTGGATATGTTGGCTATTGTGGTCGGGAAGTCAACTCCTCCTTTTTCCGAGTCTATGCATGCTATGGCTATTGCTTCCTTCATTTGTGGAGTGTCTAAACTGGAGTTACTAATCTTGAAGGAGCTAGAACCTTTTTGTGCTCCTGGGTCGAAGAGCAGCTTGATGAAAAAATTGGATTGTGATCTAGCCCGTTGTTGTAAGGGAGTTTTCCTATTCCTACGCTGTGAATTGCTCCTCTAAGAGTCTCGGATACTAGAAAGTAATCTATTGCTGAGCTTGTTATGTGTTGTGATCTGTTTCTTTTCCTATAGGTGAATCTTTTGATTTCTGGGTAGATTGTTCTTAGTGGTTTTATTAGGTGTCTTTCCATCATGAGTGTGGTCATTTCCTGAGCTTCCCTTATCTGTATTTCTTCTCTACCTGTTTGTGATGGTGAAATCCGGTCGGTAGATGGCTCTAACACAGTGTTCCAATCACCTACTAGTAACAAGTGCTTCTGTGTGTCGCACCTTGCTGAGATGCGTTGTACAAAATCTTTTCTCTGAGATGAATTATTGGGTGCATAAACATTTATTAGCTGAAAGACTTCTTCCTTGTACGTGAAGATGATGTCTATCCA